GGACTGAAAAGAATCTACATGATCATTCGGATCGAATGATCCATCATACTTGTCTAGGGGAGGCACCTTGAAATCTTTAGGCATCGGGACAGCTAGGAGTTCGGGTGACAGGGGAGATGGCACAGAGAGGAGCGGAGTGGCGTTTACTGCTCCCGAGCTCGCTTCTTCCTTTCCTTTGAGGAGTTCGGGCATGTTCTGGGTTGTAGCTCGGCGAACTCTGCGGCGTCTCCGTTGCTTCTTTGTCGGCTTCGCATTGGTGCTGCTGGCCTCTGTGTTGTCAAGCACAGTTCTCGCGGGGAGTGGCTCGGACTGCTGGCAATGGCTGTGGATTGAGGGACCTTGTCTAGAGTCCGAAGCCAGGACCTCGAACCGGTTTTCTACGAGCGGGATCTCGAACTTTGAAAGCCGAGGTGATGTGGGTCTGTTAGGCTGAGAATCTCCTGACCTGACCATGCGCGGCGAGGTGGGAGTAACTGGTTTCTCCCTCCTGCCGCGAGACGAGACTTGGCTCCTAGGGGGATTCTGGGTCTGGGAGGTCTCTCCCCGGCGAGAGGGGTGTTCGTTCCAACGGCGAAGCTTAGCTTGCTGTGTGGCCGGATGCCGAGGTGGAGCCGACTGCTGGTTTTGAGGCAGTAGTGGGAATTGCTGCTGATACTGCTGTTGATAAACATGGTGCAGTGTTGCTGATATAGTTGGAGCTGCTGAACTTGCTGCATTTGAGCTTGTATAGCTCGCATGCAGTGCATCAGGTCTTCGAATTGGTTCTGTCCGGCCACCGGGGGGATAGACGGTTCGGCGAAGGTTGTACCTATCGTGGAGGGGAGTGGAGCACTCACTGGTGCCGTGATCTGAGGCACGTTCAGAGCCGGGACCCCATCCATAGAGAGTGGTAGGGTGAACTAACCGACGCACACCGTCGGGGTCTGAGGTTGCTCCCCGGAAGTGTTCATATTCGCGCTGTGTCCGGCGTTGTTGGAGGAAGCCATGGAAACTGGACTTGAAAGGTTTGGTGGAAAGAGGCTTTTCGAAGCGATTCCCACAGACGACGTCAATTGATGGTGTGCGATCTGGTCACTCCTAGCTGGAAGTGGCTGCACTCCTAGCTGGCGACGGACGAGAGACACCTGTGAGGAAGAAGATGAAGGATCCCGGGGGGCTCACCTGGCGGGCACACTCCGACGATTAAGTTAGTAAGCTGGGAGAGCGAAAGAGAGAGAGAGTTGCAGAGAAATTAGAGCTAGAGTGAAGATCACGCAATACCTTCGCCCCTGGGGGTCGGGGTTCTTATATACTGGTATCCTGACATGTTAGGTGCAACCGCCTCCGAATCTCTGCTGCGGCGATCTGCTGTCAAATAACGGCTTGGAGTGGCTGGCCATTATTTGTCAGAGCTGAGCTGTCGGGCAAAGGTGATCGCTGTAGAGTACGGCCCTGCCAGACAAGAAACAACCTCCAGTGATGGCAGGCACGATGCCGCTAGGCGAGTGACGTGGGTGCAGTCTGGCAGGTACGGTTGTCAGGCAGAAAATCTCTCACGATACGCCGAGCTGCTCTGCAGCGAGCTACCTAACACCGAGTTGCTGGTGATGCGCCGAAGTGCTTCTCCGAGGCAGGTCTCTGAGGTAGCCTACTTAAGTTTAGGCAGGAGCAAGTTTATCCTAGTTAGGGGGCTGACGAGCTTAACCCGAGTTGTCTTCAGTTCGGAATGCTCCCTACTTGGGAGAGTCTTAGCTCGGGGTGCTCCCTATTTGGGAGTCTTAGCTTGGGATATCGGAGTATCATCTTATAGCGAGCTGCCACTTCCCGCGGGCTGTCAGGCTGGGTTATAGCGAGCTCGTTACGCTGAGTTGTACCAAACTCATTATGCTGAGCTGTCACTTATGTCGAGTCACGTCCACGTGTCCCCTTATTATGAGGTCGGGCCAAATCACCCTCCATCAAAACGTATATAGGTTTGTAAACCTGACAACCATAGATCCATGAGAAAGTTATTTAGTGCATTATGATATTGCTAATTGTGCACCACTTTCAACTTAACAAAACTATATCTTCTAATTTTCTCAGTGGCTCAACAAGTGAATTTCACAGTTGCTGACATACATGGTTTGATACACCTTTTACTTCTGTTTGTTTTGTAAGAAGATTCATCAATCAATAGAGGATCTACTTAACCTGGCACTTTCAATAATTAAATGGTTCTTCTATTGTTACACAAGCACTTGTAACTGTAGGGTCAAGGTTGGTGTTACCATGATCTAATTCAAGTTTCCTAATCTGGAGAAATTTAGGAATTGAAATACAAAAACATTTTGAATAAGCACCACCGAAAGATTCAAAACCATTAAAATCTTCCTGGCTGCATTGCAGATGGAGGGGGTGGGGGGCTTAGATTATACCTGCTTGCCTCTTCCAAAATAGATTTGGAAAATGTAGGATTTGATGCACTGTTTTGTAGCCTGACCTCTGGTTATGCCTGCTTGCAGGAGTGTGTGGAATGTCAAATGGGAGGGAGGCATGATTGCCTCTCTTTGACTGGCATAGAGTTAGAACTAAATGATCAAAATGCCCCCTAAAGCACTGCGTATTAATTATAAATTTATAATATAGAGGGCATTCGGTGATTTGACAATTAATCTGACAGTTTTGCAGTTTAAGAACTAACTTGTTCCTGAAATAGCAGATCGGTCTCTTCTGAACCTGACCTACCTGCCCTTCACCCAGTTAAGGGAATGGAAAACTTGCCTGATAGGGGTTGGGTGGGGCAGGTTGGATAAACCAATATAATATCCCCCCACCCACCCACAACCCTCCACAACAAATTTGAACAGTTGCCATCCCTATCTTTGGTAGTGGCAGCATAATATAAGCCAAATTAAAACTAACAGTAGTGGAATTATTGGAATTCTCCAACTTTTGCTTTTGTGAGTTCCAGCCTTTCCATAGTCTTATACTTAATTCTCCCCCTTTTATATTTGAAGAAACTTCATTCTTCTTGATCTATTTTCTGTATAACTGATCAAGAATACGTGTTACTTCATTCTTTTAGATTTGTTCGCCCTACATGTATTAGTGGATGATTGCAACCTTGCTTTGGTCCAGTGTTTTAAAAGGGGTGGGAGGCGTACGCCTGCACCTCCAAGCAAGACTCTCCCAAAACGCCCTGAGGTGTATGCCAGAGGTGCTGACACCTCTGAGGCGTACGCATCAGGTGCAAGAGGCATACGCCTCATGCACACATCATATAAAAAGACTGAAAACAAAAGAAAAAAGGAAAAAGGAAAGGAAAGGAAAAGAAAAGAAAAGAAAGGGAAGGGAAAGAAAAAGAAAGAAAGAGAAGAAAATAAAAGAGAAAAGGGAAGGGAAGGGAAGAAAAGATAAGGGGAAAGAAAGTGGTCTGCCCCCGGCTCCTTTGGCTGGGGTGCTCCGCCCCCT